TTCTTCGCCGCATTAACCACAGTTGGACGACCGGTACGGTTCCGGCTGAGTGGAGACGCGCTACCATCGTTCCACTCTTAAAACCCGGTAAGTCGCCGGAACTGCTTGAGTCATATCGACCCATCAGCCTTACTTCCATTGTGAGTAAGGTTGCTGAGAAAATGGTACTGAAGAGATTGCTTTGGGTGTGGACGCCGCACCCCCACCAGTATGCATATCGTAGTGTGCGTACCACGACGATGCGGCTGGCACACCTGATACACGAAGTGGAGCATAATAGAAATCATTATTTCCAAGTGAGCCTTCCCAAGAAGAGCGGTATTGGCAATCAACTCCACTACAGACCCCATCGGACCCTGCTAGTGCTGGTTGATTTCAGCAAGGCTTTTGACTCCATAGATCATCGAGTCCTCAGTCGCTTGCTGGCTAATATTCCGGGGGTGAATTGTAGAAGGTGGCTTAGAAACTTTCTATGTGGTCGCTACGCGAAGACACGAGTTGGCCACAGACACAGCGATCGGCGTCCCATGCTGCGAGGAGTTCCTCAGGGGTCCGTGCTGGGACCGTATTTGTTCTCCCTTTACGTACACCCACTTCTCAATCTGCTGAACAGCTTTGCGGGTGTCACAGCAGACATGTATGCGGACGACCTCTCTATTATCGTTAAGGGGCAGTCCCGGGAAGACGCCATTCCCACTGCCAACATGGTTCTTCAAAAGCTGCATGCGTGGAGTCGGGAAAATGGCCTGGCCATCAACCCGTCAAAGTGTGAAGCTGCCTGGTTCACACTATCCACGCACACGGAGTCAGATTATGATCGTGAAGGAAGGTGGCCCCTGGTAGTGGCTGGATGTCAAATCCCAGTCATGACCATGGGGGCATCGCGAACTACGAAGCTTCTCGGCATGGATCTCGATCCACGACTGGCGCTAAATGTGGCGGCCACCAAGCAATGCGCTACCACTTCGCAACGTATATCGCAGCTACGCTGCATAGCGCACAAGGAGGCGGGACCATCTCCACATGACCTACGCACGTTCGTCATTGGATACGGTGCTTCCAAATTACGCTATGGCAGCGAGCTCATATGGGCAGCAGCGACGGATTCAGCGAAGAATGAGATGCAGAAGACGTACGCAACCCTAGCACGAATTGTCAGCGGAGCTCCGAGCACTGTCGACCCGGAATCCGCACTGCTGGAGGCTAATATGCCGCCGCTCCACGTCCTCTGCCTGCGCGCGCGGCTCTCCATATTTGAGAACACACGCACATGTCAGACGGACTGGATGCGGAGACCCCCGCCTGAGCCACCGCCTCGCGCCGGTTTCCGCATCTCGCCATTATCTCGGGACGAGCTATATGCCTCTGTAGACGCATACACAAAGGACTATGGCATCACCGAGAGCTCACCACGCGAAGAGCGGTTCCTTCGCAGCTCCATTCCTCCCTGGTTTGCGGCCTCCGCTCACCGGGTTACCATCGGTGTGGAACTTCCGATAGACCTCTCAATAACTGACGAGGAATAGCTGATACGGGAAAAGCGCGGGGTCAGCGAAGAGGCTCTGGCGCTGCACAGCCATCGTTCGTGGATACTTGCGACCGATGGCGGTGTCGACGTTCCCAAGTCAGCAGGGGTTGGAATACTGCTTTCATCCCTCAACTCATCGGAGATAATAGAAAAGGCCAGCATAAACTGCGGTGCACACCCATGCAGCTACAGGACGGAATCCCGTGCGCTGCTTCTAGCCCTAGAGAGGCTGATGATCCCTCGTATTCGCCACAGGCGTAAAACCCTGCTTGTGGTTACGGACAGTCAGTCTCTTCTAGCGGCTCTAAACAAGGGCCCGCTCAGTCAGACAGACTGGATGGAGGATCGGATCTGGCAGCGTCTCTTGACACTGACGTGTGCTGGCTGGTCCGTGCACCTGCAGTTTTGTTACGGACATTGTGGAGTACATGTTAACGAGCTTGCAGATCAGTATGCGACGCAGACTATGGCAACCGGACAATACACGGAGCAAGGAATCGCACCTTTATGGCATACGGATCTGCTGACATGTTTTACTACGCAGCTCACCAACAAGTGGCGTAGTACCATTCGTCAAGACACTCATCGCTACTTGCTTTGCGGCACAAGGCCATCAGATCTCAGCGGTAAGGACCTGACCACTCAGGAAGTTCTTCACCGTCAGGAACTGGTTCACCTCGCAAGGGCAAGGTGCGGGGAATCTGAGCTCTGGGGCCGACTATACTGGGCCGTGAGAGATTGCACAAACTAATGCCGTTTCTGCAACATCTCACCGGAACAGTCTGCATATATGCGCTCTAACAACGATCCGACTGCACCGGGGACGGACACTGTTCCCCCGTCGGCGAGGGAGGAAGACGTCTCTCCAGTAAGGAGACGGACCCTCACACGCCGTCGGAAGGAGAAATGTCCGCACTGCGATTCTACATTGACGGGATTCTCGGGTCTCGTCAGTCACTGTCGGTCATTTCATCCGGAACATCCTCCACCGCTTCCCGAGCTCAAATGTGATTTCTGTGACATGGTTTTCCCCACACGGAGAAGCACCGCACAGCACAGAAGTCGCTGCGCACACAACCCAGACGCCACACGGCATCGGAACAGCAGTGCCAGGCGGCGATCTCTGCTGCCGCAGGATCAGCCAGCTTCCACAAGCACGCCAATCGGCCCGCAGGAAACCTTGCACCATCTGCTTCTAGAATGTCCAGGCACCTTGGCTGTGCGTCAACGGCTGGGCATTGAACAGGACCTTCGCCTCGGAAAGTTCTCTCAATGGCAGTTGCTTCACAGCAGGAAACCTTTGTCGTTGCTCGACCACCTCTTCGGCACTCAGATGGCACTGTATAGCTAGACGCGCTGGTAAGAGTAGAAAAAAAAACGTTGTTGTTGTTGTTGATGATCTTGAGGAAGAAGAGCGAGAAGAGGAAACAGTAGAGACAGCAGAGACACAAATTCCCAATGGTCCAACAAAGAGGAAGCATCATCACCAGCACAATAAGAGCACGAAAAAGGGCCAACACCAACAGCAGCAGAAGGAATCCCAACAACACAATCACCAGCAACGGCAGTGCTACCAACGACACAAGGGCAGCCGCCAACGGCAGCGCCATCACCAGAAGATTCACCAGTCCCAGCAGCGTCGGCAGCAACAGTAACACCGAAAGTAACATCATCAGAACAAGGAAACACACCAGCAGCGGCGCGGAAAAAGGATGAAAAACAATCGGAAGATATTGACCCGGCACAAGAAAGCGAACAGCCCGATCCTCACGATGTCGTGTTAGTGCAACATTCACAAGGTGTCCACGAGAGCAAGGAGTCAAACAACAATCCACGAAACCCAGCCAGCGCCTCCGCCACTGCCAACCAGCGGGATGCAACATTTAACGGTCATGGTGAACCAGCACAAACAACATCTTCAACTAAAAGCGTTTTTGAGAGTAACGACGCTAACAGTGGCACTGAAGAAGGGATAACAAGTGATGATCCAACTGCTGATGGTGCAGGAACAAACGACACAAAAAACAGTCAAAATAAGCATGGCAATACGAAGGAAACCCCAGTCGAAGCCACAGCCGTAAAAGCCACAACGGGCGACAGTGACGGCAGCACCGCGGTCTCCCACACCACCTCCCCTCTTTTGCTTCTTGTTGCGTGTGCGGCTGCGGTGGTGGCCGCGTGAGAGTGAGGGAGAGAGAGCCGTGCACCGCCCGCACACACACTCGTCCTTCTCTCTCTCTGTGTGTGTGTGTCCCCTTGCATGGACTCTCGCCCTCACCTCACCCCACGAGGCACACAATAATGTGCCCATTGTATGTATGCATGCACACCCATGTAGGCCCGTTGTTGCTCTCTTTTGCACGACACGCACCGCTGCCGTCCTGCCTGGCTGCATGGGCGGAGCACCGTAACTGTTTTTGTTTCTGTTTTTATTGCATTGAGTGGGCGACCTCTCTCTCTCTCCCTGTGTGTGTGTTTTGCTTTACGGGAGCAATGAGAGTGTGTGTGCGCTGGTCGTCCCACGCTTCGGCTTTTTGTTTTGTTTTGTTTTGTGTGTTGTGGTTGAGTGCACCCATTCCTCGGGCTGCATGTGTGTGTGATGATACGAGCAATTTGAGTGTGTGCTATCTGCCTCTTTCTGCCGTTGCTTTCTTTGGACTTTATTGTGCCACACAGCTGCTCTGCAAATATAGGCGCCGACAAACACGCACTCATATTGACACACACACACACACACACACAATATGTCGCACACGCTGTGGAGCGGTGTGAACGCTGAGAATGCACACATGCACAAGATTCCGACTGCGGCAGCCCTTTCGAGGACGGAGGACGTTAGCCCTCGATGTGTTTTGTTGGCATGTTGCTGGTGTGCAGTCTGTGGGTGTTTTTTTGGGGGTGCCTGATACAACTTTTGATTGATTCTCACCAAGATGCCGCGCATGCTGACGGGTCCCTCCCGCTCTGGATTTGCCGGTATTCTTCGGCTGTGCGGTGTGATACGCGCCTGCGGCGGGGAAGCGGGTGCGCTGGAAGGGACAACAGTAAAAAGACTGGCGGCAGCGTGTCGGTGCTGCGAAGGGCGGTTGCGCTCTTTTGTAATTTTCTGGTTGTTTTTTGTTGGCGTCGCTCGGTGTGTGCTGACGCGTGACGGATAACACACCCGCCGTGACTCCTGCTACTGCTGCTGGTGGCAGCCGCTGTGTGTTCCCGGTGCACTGCTCTTCCTTCTCGTTCCGTGTGTCTGTGTGCGTGAGTTGTTGTTGGGAGTGACTGCGGCGGAGATGATGGTGCCACTCACTGTGGATGGTGGCGGTTTTCACTGTTGTGCTTCTTTTTATTAGTCTGTTTTTCTTCATTTCTTTTCTCACTCACACTAGAAAACAAACAAACGTTAAACGCTACTGTGAAATTCGAAGGCACCAAAAGGACCAACAGCACACACACACACCGCCCACACACACATATTTATATGCTCCCACGTTTTGCTGCAGTGAAGGCACCCCGCACACACAACCGTCGCCGCGTGACCGGATCCAGCGGAAGGAGGAGGGAAGGAGGAGAGAGTGAGCCACAGAGGTCCAACATGTCCCGGCGTGTGTTTACTTCCGCGGTGCTGCTCCTCCTCGTCGTGGTGATGTGTTACGACACTGGGGCTGCAGCCAATGATAATGGAGCGGCGTCGTGTCCAGTATCTTCACCGGGGAAACATTTTGCTTGGAGAGATAAGAAAGGAGAAGAAACAGTGGATTCGCTCCATGCTCCCGCTCTTGTTGAGGTGAATGGTGGCGTGTTTGCCGTTGCCGAAGCGCAGTGCACGAAGGATGAAGAATGCGTTTTCACTGGGATTGCCTCGGAACTCCTGGAGTTTAATGGTGAAACGCTAAAAGAGGAGTTGCATGAGAGCAAACTGAAGACACAAGTACTGGATGAATGCTCTGCTTCGGAAGAAAGGCAATGCCCCTCACAAGCAGTGGAACCGGACAGTTCCCAAAGAGTGATGAAATTACGTGTCGGCCGGCCAACAACACTTGTGAAAGGAAGTGATATTTACATGCTTGTTGGAAACTACAGTCGGACAGCTGCCACTAATCCTAAGGAGAGTGTAGGAGATGAATGGGGACTTTTGCTGGCGAGAGGAAACGTCAGTGGTGAAGAAAGTGGCAAAAGAGTAAACTGGAATGATACCTACCGTTTTCTCTGGACTGATTTGAAAAAACAACAGCAGTCCTTGACAGGACTGATTGGCGGCGGCGGATCGGGTCTTAAGATGAAGGACGGTCCGTTTCTGTTCCCAGTGGAAGGAACGAAAAAAGAGAATGGGAAGACCATTTCACTGATTATATACTTTTCGGCCAATGATGGTTGGGTGCTGTCGAAGGGGATGTCTGCCGATGGCTGCAGTGTTCCCTCCGTCGTGGAGTGGGAGAAGGGAAAACTCATGATGATGACTGCGTGTGATGATGGCCGCCGCAGGGTGTACGAGTCCGGTGACAGGGGGAATTCGTGGACGGAGGCCCTCGGGACACTCTCGCGCGTGTGGGGCAACAAACAGGGCGTTAGGAGCGGGTTCACCACAGCGACTCTTGGCGGTGTTGGAGATGATAATAAGAAGAATGTGATGCTTGTCACTCTGCCGGTGTATTCCAATGAAAAAGGTAACGAAAACGAAAAGGGCGTACTCCATCTTTGGCTGACGGACAATACGCACATTGTTGATATTGGGCCGGTATCCGAGGAAGATGACGCTGCCGCCAGCTCACTGTTGTACAAAAGTGCTAAAGGTAATAATGAGCAGAATGATGAGTTGATTGCACTGTACGAGAAGAAGAAGAAGGGCGATGAAGACAAACCATCACTCGGTATGGTCTCTGTGCTTCTGAGTGCGCAGTTGAAGCGGGTGAAGGAGGTGCTGGCGAACTGGAAAGAAGTGGACGGCCGTGTCTCCAAGCTGTGCCCTTCTGAGAAGGATGAATCAACTGAAAATGCCTGCAGCGCTGTTAAGATCACGGAAGGGCTGGTTGGCTTTTTGTCCGGCAATTTCTCTAATGACACATGGAGGGACGAGTACCTCGGGGTGAACGCCACAGTAACGGGTGATGCAACAGTGGCAACAGGGTATCCCGATGGCGTGACGTTCAAAGGACGTGGTGCGTGGGCGGAGTGGCCTGTTGGCAAGAAGGGGGAGAATCAGCTGTACCACTTTGCGAACTACAACTTCACTCTTTTGGCGACGGTGTCCATCCACGGTGAGCCGACGAAGAGTGGTTCCATTTCATTGATGGGTGCGAAGATGGCTGGTGATGACAATACAGTACTCCTGGGAATGTCGTACGATAGCGGAAAGAAGCGAGCAGTGCTGTGCAGTGGCGGAAAGAACAAGGAGCAAAGCCGCACTTGGGAGCCACAGACACAGTACCAAGTGGCCATTGTGCTACAGAATGGCACCCAGGGCTCTGCGTACGTTGATGGTGAACATGTGGGAAATGTGCAATGCGAATTGGAAAATACGGATTCTAAAGGGATCTCACACTTCTTCATTGGAGGGGATGGAGACAACACAGTGGGCGACGAAGTTGTGTCTGTGACTGTGAGGAACGTCCTGCTGTACAACCGCCCGTTGACTTCCGAAGAGATTGGCGCCCTCAACCCGAATAAAGCCTCCATTTCACCTTCTGAAGATCTTACCGCAGCGGTGGTGATGGATACTCCTTCGACAGCGGTGAGCGGACCAGTTGCACAGAAAACCGTGTCCGTGTCCACTCCTGGCGGATCCACAGTGAAACATGAGTCGAGCGCAAGATCTGGAGAGGATGAGGGGACGGTGGGAGAAACGAATGCGCAGGAGAAAGCGATCCACTCACATAACAGGGAAGTAAATGGTACGGCACTCAACAGCAGCCCTGGAAATTTTTCGCAATTGAATAACAGCGATGCCATCACCATACGTGGGAGCGGACTGCTGCCGTTGCTCCTTCTGTTGGGACTGTGGGTGTTTGCGGCTCTGTGAGGCGTGACTGGCTGCCGCGTGGAATAATTGCGACCTTCCTGCACTGAATTACTTCTCCGGGAACTAATATCTCTCATAAATCTTTTTTTTGCGTGTATTTTAAATTTATTTTAATGTTTGCTACTTTCTTGTTTTAAAATTCTTTTTTTATTTTTATGTGTTTGTTGCTTTTTTTCACATCCCTTCTCTTTTTTGCTTTTGGGGGCAATCACTCTGGACGTTTTTTCTTTTCTACTCTTCCCTCTTTAATTGTTTGTTGCTGCACTCTTCCTGCGAGGGGTGCCGTGTGTTTCCGCCCAACTGCTCCACTCGCACATCCACCGACACGCTCATGACGACGGCCCTGTGCGCCTCGCCTGCTGCACGCATGAGGAGGGGCCGCGACGAACGGCGCGCTGAGGGAGCCGTGACGTGTGGGCGTGCGACGAGGGCCTGTGGGGCGGAGCACACATTTCTTCCCTCTTGTTTTGCTTCTTTGCAGCCAGGGCGGGCAGACACCCGCAGCGCCACACACACAGCCACACCCTGCCGCCTTGTTTTTCTTTTCTTTTTTTTTTCTGCGCTCACTCTCCCGATGGAGTGACGCGACTGCCGTCGTGTCTGCGTGCTTCTCTCAGTCCCCACACACACGAGTGACTGTGCTCTGCGGGCCGCACTCACACGCCGATGGGAGGGCTGAGGGGAGCAGCAACACGCAGATGACCCCATGAAATATAAACGATGTGCGGACACACAGAGGGTCGGACGGTTGAAGGACATTTAAATATCTTTTAATTTTATTTTCGGACAAAATATGCAGACGGTTTGGAGTAAGATGGTAGTTAGGTGCTTTTTGTGTGTGTTTTTTTTCTTTCTTTTATCATTTGGGTTTGGCCGTAATAAAGGACTAATTTTTTTCATTTTTTTTATTTTTTCTTTTTAAAGTGTGAGGTGTGGAAGGGTGAAGATAATTTTTATTTATTTATTTTCATTTAATTTTTTAATGAATTGCCGCTGCTTTTTCTGCAGTGCAATATCATGAGCTTGAGCAGTCCCTTTCTTTTTATTTCCGCCATGCACCTCCGCTGTACAGTTTTGTTTGTGCGTCCCCTCACATGCTCTGCTCCTGTTTTTGCTTCTTTGCTTCGTGTTTCTGCAGGCACACACAAAATGCAGATTTCATTCGATTTTGATGCTTATTTTGTGACGTGTGCTGGCGGTTGCGTGTGGCTGCTGCTTCCTTCGTGGGCATGAAGGGAAGGAGAGAGGGAGCGCGCACCGCGAGTCACTCTTCCTGCGGGTGTGATGCACCGCCTGTGACTGCGTTGTGTTGGGCAGCCTGAGATATCGCGTGCGTGGGAGTGTGTGGGCGTGGAAGAAGTGTTCTGCTGCCAGTGCTGAGGCTCAGCATGAGAATTATACTTTCAGTGGCTTTGATGTGCGCATGCATGGCAGGAATGGTGAGCTGGGTGCTGCGTGCCATGTGGCCAATGCGGTTCACACATGTAGCAACTGTGCTGCCAGCTGTGCAAGGAAGGAGGAAGGGGCCACCGTTGCCTTCACGATGAATGTGATGACACATAAATACGCCGGCCCTTATGAATTGTGGTGGCGTCAATTTCCCCGATGGAACCATCCATCCGCCTGCACGGAGCAGCGATGCTGACCGGACGGGCATCTGTCAGTTGCCGCCACCCCGTGAAGGGAGGGATGACACAAAATCTGGTGGGACAACTGCGCCGCAAGTTAATGCTGAGCCGTCACGTCAACACGAGGATTGGCGACGGTCTGCGGCGGCTGACGGACCCAACACCGTTGATCCGAGTCCCGCATCCAACACGGCGAGCAACACATCCGAGACGAGGTATGACTTTGCCACCAATCCGAACGAAATGATGGTCCCGAATGCATCCAAGAAGAGGCCTTCCTTTGCTAACGGTCCGAGAACATTAGTGGCGTCGAATGCATCCGGGATCATGTCTGTCATTTATGGCGGCAGGGAACACGTTGCTGCGGATAACACGGACAAGGCGAGTGAGCACGAAGCCACCGGACACAATTCTCTCGTTTTAGAAAATGGCGTTGCGGTCAGTGGATTTGTTGCTGAGGGTGATGCGGACGGATTGAGTCAACGCAATGCCTCTGGACACGAGAACAAACCCGAATTGCGAGAATTCACCGCGCAGTATTCCGTAAACGATGTGAGTCCCGACGACTGCTTTGCCCTGCACAACGACGCGAAATTGACACTGCGAGAGTTAACTGTTGGCAGCACTGTGCGTGTGTGCGTGTATTGTGCGTTGCTGCTTCTTCTGGGATTGTGTGGAGTTGTGGCGGCCTTGTGAGCCGAAGAGTGTGGAATTGCGACTCCTCGCAGAGAATATTTGCCGCGTTGCATGTGTGTTACTTTTATTATTTACATTTTACTTTGTTTTTCTGTCTTCCTGGAATAATGAGTATCGTTGCTGTTCCTTTATTCAATGGTCGGTTGCTGCACACTGTCATGTGTGACGCGTTTCTCCTCCTTGTTTTTTGTTGCCCACACGCGGTGCCGGCCTCATTGCTGTGCGTCCCACGGACTGCACGAAAGGAGGATTGGAGGAGCAGGCCGGATGCCGCAATGAAGTGTGAGGGATGTTGTGTGGGCTGGTGGAACAGCAAGATCTTTTTTTTAATTTCCATTTTTTCTGCGGTCAGAATTTATTCACACAGCTGTCATCTTGTGCTTCTAGGCACATCAAATAAAAGTCCTGCCTGGAGAATTTTTTTATTCCGTGAGTTCTGGTGGACTCACAATTTTTTTCTTTTTCGCAAATACCTGTGGCTTGTTTTTCTTTTGTGCCGTGTTTACCGTCACTGCCTTTCACAGTGTCTTATTGAGTTTCCCTCTGCTGGCCGTGCTGTTGAAATGCCTCCATTTTCCTTTCTTTCCTGCTAGAGGCACTGATGGTCCGGGACGACGATTGTTTGTGCTCCCCGTTGCGATGGCACGAGGGTGACTGAGCGCCGGCCTGCTGAGTGCACAAGGAAGGGAGCGGATGGTGTGCGCCATGTCTCACTGTGAGTGTGGAACACCAATCCGCCACGACCTGGTGTGGGATGCAATGCCAATCCGTCGGGACGGTGAGAAGTAAAGAACGGCGCCGTGGAGTTGGATGCGCCGTGTCCCTCTCTTTGCGGCCGTGTGTGTGTTGTGCGCAAGGCTCTTTATTGCAGTGCGACATGTATGGCATTGCTTTTGTTTGTGCCCTTGTGCATGCGCTGTGCGGCGGGCTTCTCTTCCCACGGCACCGCCCTTTTGTGTGGGAGAGTAGAGGGAGCGGATGTGTGAGGGAGTGAGGGTGGCCGTTGTTCCCGCACATTTGCTTCTTCCACAAAAGTGGCACCTCTCGGCAGCCTTTCGCAGCACCCAGGCCGTGGATCGAGAGGTGTGAGGGTCTGCTCCAAGCACAAGAAAGACAACAAGATGCTGTGCGTGACGGCCAACCTGATCCGCGGGTGGTTGCAGCGCATGGAGCACGTGCGACAGTACGCGTTGGGCGTTGCGCTCATGATTGGGGAGGAGAGGCGGCACGACATTGTGGCGCTGTGTGTGTTGAGTGGCCGGGGCATGCCGGCGATTGTGAGGGACGTGGAGCACACGGAGCTGTTTGACTGAGGGAGGTGGTGGCGAACATTGCGGCGCAGCGGAAGGGCCCGACGGACTGTCTTTGCTGGAAGGGCGCGTGTTGAATTGAGCGTGGCGTGCCCGTGAGGGCCTGAGGAGAGGGAATAACAGTAACAGTGACTGTGGGGGTGTGAGGAACGGGCCAGGAAGCATTCCTTTTTGTTTTTGTTTTTATTATTGTTAACTGCGCTCACCTAATTGTTGTTGTGGTGTTGCTGGGATGCTGTTGTTTGTGACTGTGTGTGGTGTAGCGGCCGTGTCTCTCCTTTTGCTTTTTTACTCTGCGTTGAATTGGAGTTAGTTTGTGCTGAAGGCTGCACGCAAGTGACAGGAGTGATGGCGATGATGACTGGCCGTGTGCTGCTGGTGTGTGCCCTCTGCGTGCTGTGGTGCGGTGCGGCGGTGGTGGTATCGTCGATGCCTGATGCTAACAGTGTGCAAAGTTTTTGGCGTGAGAATTTGATCCCAAGGTGGCATGAACTGCTGAAGAACGAATGCGAGGCGGAATATTCTAAAGAAACAAATTTGAGTTTGAAGGATTTGGCCGTGAATTGTTGTTTACATCATGCCATGCATGAACTTTGTAAGGATCTTTACTCTAGGCTGTTCAAGAAAACTGAATTCTCTAACGTTGAGGGTGTTTGCAAAGAGTACGCTGAAAAACCAGATGAAGTCAAATGCCGAAAAAGGCAAACCCAGCCGCCGCCAGCTACGGACAATTCAGTGAAATTATCAGTTCCAGAAGCACTGGGAAAGGAAGGAGACTTGGGAAAAACACCGGAAGAGGCATCTCTGGCAGATCCATCAGCAAAACCAACAAAAGGACCACCATCCTCGCCAATGGGAGGACAACCCGCCAATGCAGATGATGTGCCGGCACCAAAATCAGAGGAACGCCCAGTAAGCACGAGGCCAACAAACGGTTCGAGAGAAGGGGACACTGACACAATCACAGACACCGATCAGGAGGAAATATCTACCAGTGAAGCCGAATCAGCCACACCAACACCCCCAGTTGCCAGCGATAATGATGATAGCAACGAAACGGACAAGGGCACCGGAGAAAAAGTTCCGAACAATGCACCGGAATCCGATGGTGCAGGGACAGAAGGAAAACAAGATGAAAATAAAGATGCTAATCCGAAGGAAACACCAGTCGAAGCCACAGCCATGAAAACTGATACGACGCCTGGCGACAGTGACAGCAGCACCGCGGTCTCCCACACCACCTCCCCTCTTTTGCTTCTTCTTCTTGTTGCGTGTGCGGCTGCGGCTGCGGTGGTGGCCGCGTGAGAGTGAGGGAGAGAGAGCCATGCACCGCCCGCACACACACTCGTCCTTCTCTCTCTCTGTGTGTGTGTCCCCTTGCATGGACTCTCGCCCTCACCTCACCCCACGAGGCACACACATAATGTGCCCATTGTATATATGCATGCACACCCATGCAGGCCCGTTGGTGCTCTCTTTTGCACGACACGCACCGCTGCCGTCCTGCCTGGCTGCATGGACGGAGCACCGTAACTGTTTCTGTTTTGTTTTTATTGCATTGAGTGGGCGACCTCTCTCTCTCTCCCTCTGTGTGTTTGTGTTTTGCTTTACGGGAGTAATGAGAGTGTGTGCGCTGGTCGTCCCACGCTTTTCTTTTATTGTTTTTTTGCAATTTTAATTTTTAAATTTTTTTTCTGCTTGCTTTAAAATTTTTTGCTAGTTTTTTAATGATTTAATTTTTTTTACTTTTTTTTTTGTTCTCATTCCCCATCCCTTCCTTTTTTTTGCTTTCGGGGGGCAATCGCTATGGACGTTCTTTTCTTTTCTACTCTTCCCTCTTTAATTGTTTGTTGCTGCACTCTTCCTGCGAGGGGTGCCGTGTGTTTCCGCCCAACTGCTCCACTCGCACATCCACCGACACGCTCATGACGACGGCCCTGTGCGCCTCGCCTGCTGCACGCATGAGGAGGGGCGGCGACGAACGGCGCGCTGAGGGAGCCGTGACGTGTGGGCGTGCGACGAGGGCCTGTGGGGCGGAGCACAAATTTCTTCCCTCTTGTTTTGTTTTCTTGCGGCCAGGGCGGGCAGACACCCGCAGCGCCACACACACAGCCACACCCTGCCGCCGTGTTTTTCTTTAAGGATTTGTTTTTGCGTGTGCATTTCTTGCGCCGGCAGTCCCTTCGGTGTCGGCCTCGTGAGCATTTCTTTTCCCCCGATGTTTTTTTCTTTTGCTGCGCTCACTCTCCCGATGGAGTGACGCGACTGCCGTCATGTCTGCGTGCTTCTCTCAGTCCCCACAAACGAGTGACTGTGCTCTGCGGGCCGCACTCACGCGCCGATGAGAGGGCTGAGGGGAGCAGCAACACGCAGATGAACCCATGAAATATAAACGATGTGCGGACACACAGAGGGTCGGACGGTTGAAAGGCATTTAAATATCTTTTAATTTTCTTTTGCGGGCAAAATAAATGCAGACAGTTTGGTGTGGCCACACGGCAGCCGGCTGTCTTTTGTTAATTTGTGTGGAACAGTAATGGACGATTTCTTTTTATTTATAATTATTTTGTGTGATGGGGTTTGTATAAATTGAGGGGGAAAGCTTTTTTTTTTGTTTTGGATAATTTTTGTGTGAATTGTCGCTGCTTGGGCTGCAGTGCACTCATGAGTTTGGGCGGTCTTCTTCTTGTTGCTTCCGCCATGCACCTCCGCTGTACATTTTAGTTTGTGCGTCCCTCCACATACTCCGCTTCCTCTTTTCTACTTCTTTGCTTTGTTTTTCTGCAGGCACACGCACAAGATGCACATTGCAGTGGATTTGAATGCTTCTTTTGTAGCGCATGCTGTCAGTTGCGTGTGACTGGTGTGGTGGGTGCTCGCTCCGTGTGTGTGACGGCTGCTGGGAGTGCTGGAGATGTATCTGGTGATGCGGATGCGGTGGTTGTGCCGGTGGATGTGTCGTGTGCTCCGAGTGACGGCAGCCTGAGCTATCGCGTGCGTGTGTGTGTGCGTGGAAGAGGTGTTCTGCTGCCGTTGCTGAGGCTGAGTGTGAGAATTATACCTTTAGTGGCTTTGATGTGCGCATGCATGGCAGGAATGGTGAGCTGGGTGCTGTGTGCCATGTGGCCAATGCGGTGCACACATGTAGCAACTGTGCTGCCAGCTGTGCAAGGAAGGAGGAAGGGGCCACCGTTGCCTTCACGATGAATGTGACGACGCATAAATACGCCGGCCCTTATGAATTGTGGTGGCGTCAATTTCCCCGATGGAACCATCCATCCGCCTGCACGGAGCAGCGATGCTGACCGGACGGCATCTGTCAGTTGCCGCCACCCCGTGAAGGGAAGGATGACACAAAATCTGGTGGGACAACTGCGCCGCAAGTGAATGCTGAGCCGTCACGTCAACACGAGGATTGGCGACAGTCTGCGGCGGCTGACGGACCCAACACCGTCGATCGGAGTCCCGCATCCAACACGGCGACCAAAACGTCCGAGACGAAGCTTGAGTTTGCTTACGTTTGAAATATCAAATATCAATGTGACTCCGACGCCACCCGAAAGAAGGCCCACGCCTGTCACCGAGCCGAAGGGGAATCCTGTTGATGATGCGATGAGTGGTTTAATAAATGTTGAGTTTCCGCAGGGAGTCGATCTATTTGTGGCGCAGACGACGTTGGTGCAGCCGAAATATGGTGTTGTTCCAGTTACGGCGAGGGATTCGTTTGTTTCACCCTCTCTCGTCAGTGCTGGTGGAGTAATTGCTGCTTTCTTTGAAGGTTGCATGGATGCCGAATATCAATGTGCTCAATTAATTATGTCATTTTCTTCTGATGTTGTTGCGGGGTACATCGACTCTGTGTGGAATTGGTCCACTGTTGTTGGTGAGGTCAATAAAAGATACATGGAGTGCACACACTGTGCTTGGTGCAGCTGAGAGAGAGGAGAGTTTGGATGTTGTGCTCCGCCCCACAACAATCACAAAGGGCAACGGAGTTTTTCTTCTTGCGGGAGGCTCTGATGTGTCCTACGAAGGTGGGTGTTGGAGAGAGGGCGGCTTGGAGCTGAAACTGGTTGTGGGTGATGTCACGAATCCCACGGGTGGTAAGCGGAGTGGACGGATCGAGTGGGCTGGCCCCAAACCACTCTCGAAACGGATCTCTTCTGCTTCTCACAAGGTGACTGGACGGAGTTCATTGCTTCTGGTGGCGCAGGTGTTGTGATGGAGGATGGCACGCCTGTGTTTCCTCTGATGGCGAAGAGCGGAAGACGTTTGCTCCATGATCGTGCATTCGACGGACAACGGCAGTATCTGGGCGCTCTGTGAAGACATTTCCCCTGCGAAATGCCTTAACCCCGCGTCACCGGATGGGAGGGATCACTTCTCATGATTCTTCATTGAGACAATGGCCGGAGGGTGTACGGGTCGCGTGACATGGGGACAGCGTGGACGGAGGCCATCGGGGCACTCTAAGGTGTGTGGGTCAACGCCCGATCAGGAGTCTCTCAGAAGGAAAGCCTGCGTGTGGATGCCCTCATCACCGCGACCATTGAGGAAAGGGAGGTCACACTGTACACTCAGAGAGGGCACACCTCGGGGGAGAAAAGGGCCACTGCGCTCTGCCTTTGGGTCACGGACAACAACCGCACGTTTTCTGTTGGGCCGGTTGTCATGGACAATGCTGCGGATTGATGCTCGCCAGCACCCTGCTGCACTCGGATGACAGTTTGCATCTTTTACAACGGAGGGGCAACGGTGAGGGCCGTGTCATTTCACTTTCCCGCCTGACGGAGGAACTGAGTGCAATCAATTCCGTCCTCAGTACTTTGGCGCAAAAGGAAATTTTCTTCTCCAGCTTGTCTAAACCCACGGCGTGTCTGGTGGCAGTGTTTTTCGATGCGGCCAGTGATGACACGTGGAACGACGAGTACCGTTGCCTGCATGCGATGGTGGAGGAACGCAGTGAAGGACAGCGATGGGTTACAATTGACGGGACTTGAGTC